TTAATGAAACACTCTACTTTTATGCACATTCTTACACAAAAAGGACCGCCCACAGGGTTTTGTAGAACAACCGATCAATACGTACACTCAGACACTCCCAGCAATTACACACAAAATCCTCCCCTCTGCCTGTGATATAATTACTGAACACAATGGGCTAACATAATTATCACAGGCAGGAAAATACACAATTTTACACAATATTCATAACTTTAAAAGTATACATCACATTCACATAAAACTTACATTTTCAGAATCAGCATACTCCAAACATATGTTAAAATCTTACCAATTGGTCCAGTGGTTCAAAAGTTAGTTGGAAATCCTTTTTGACCGACTGCAAGCATGGCTTGGGTGTGGTAAGCCAATTATCTCCACCTTACAGAAAATATCTCCATTTACAACAACCGTAAAAACACATAAAAATACATAAGTCCTATCATACTGAACAGAACCCCCACATTCAACCTATCCCCAGATAGCTTGGATCTGAGCGCTCACTATATCCGAACAGCGCTCAGATCCCACAAACACAGTCAAATCGCCATGGGGTTAAACAATAGCAAGGGCTGATGAGAGACAGAGGAGGGGCAAAACAGCAAGTTCCAACTGGTCTGGCAGTGTCCCTAGGACAACGCCCTGCTGGAGAAGAATAGACAGGAAACGGGGCAGAAAAAGTGTTTCAAAATGCAATAAGCCCAAATACATTTCTTAAAGGGCAATACATCCCAGGGGCCATAGTCACATGGCAGGAGGCTGGCAATCAGTCTTCTCCAATGCCCAGTGGCAAGGCTGGTTCCGCCACAATAACTTAGTGATTATAATCCTTGGGGAGTATAGTGATATAGCAATCCCCAGTAGGGATCGACCGATTATCGGTTTTACCGATATAATCGTCCGATATTCGGTATTTTTGACAATATCGGTATCGGCCAATTCAGATACTGATATTGCCGATAATACCTCCTAGGACCACCAGGCTCATTACAAGCCCGGCGGTCCTGGGGGGGGGGGTGTGTGCAGGCGCAGGTAGCGTTTACTTACCTCCCCTGCAGCTCCTCCAGCTCCCAGTGTAAGTCTTGCGAGACCCCCGGCCGTCAGGCACTAAGGGCCGCGAGATTTACACTGGGAGCTGGAGGAGCTGCGGGGGAGGTAAGTAAACGCTACCTGCGCCTGCACCCCCCCCCCCAGCTCAGCCAATGCCACTGGACCACCAGGGACTGTCATATCCCCCCTCCCTGACCAGGTAACAAGCAGGGAGGGGGGACAACAAAAATAATAAAACATAAATATTAAAAATTTAAATAAACAAATATTAAAAAATTTAAATAAACATAAATATTAAAAAATAAAATAAAACAAACATTAAAAATTTAAATAAAAAAATGCCTCCCTCCACCTCCCCCCCATTTTACACAAATCACATCCTTTCAGGAAAACACACACACACACTGCATTATATACACACACACTACACACTCTGTATATAACGCAGAGTGTGTATATAGTGTAGTGTGTGTATATAATGCAGTGTGTGTGTCTATATAATGCAGTGTGTGTGTGTGTTTAATGCACACACTACACACACTGCATTATATACACACACACTGCATTATATACACTACACACACACTGAAAACACTGCATTATATACACACACACACACTACAAACACTGCATTATATATACACACACACTACAAACACTGCATTATATACACACACACACACTACACACTGTATTCACTATACGCACACTGCGTTCGCTATACACACTAAACACTGCATTCACTTTACACACACACACACACACACACACACACTGCATTCCCTTTATACACCACACACTACACAAACACACACTCTGCATTCATTATATACACACTACAGTCACTGTATTAACTATACACACTACACAAACACACCTTGCATTCATTATATATACACTACACAAATATACACAGCTCCACTGTCTAAACACACTGCATCCAGTGCATGTGGCTTTTATATTTTGTGCATTTACCTTTTAGAAATAGTTTATTTTTTCAAAATGGTAAATCTACAGAATATCAGCAAGCTATCGGCCTGAAAGTGAACAGATTATCGGTATCTGCTCTAAAAAATCAATATCGGTCGATCCCTAATTTATACTCTAAATACTAAAAAAGGAAAAAGATGGTGAGCCAAACACTAGGATTGTGGGGTAACACCTAAGTAATAACTGGACAAAAACACTATAAGTGTAACTGTAGTTGGAAACTAACATCAGTTTATAGTCCTTAAGTAAATAGGGGACTCAAACAATAACCTAGCAGATAAACATAGTGCTATCAGTAGGGAAAATCTAAAACCAAAACAAGAAAATTTTATTAATCTAGTAATAGTCCAGCATCCTAAAAACACACACGTTGGTGAATGTGCCCAAACACTAGTAAATGTGTGATCGATAAAGTGCTGTGTGTCGGTGCAGACTGAGATGCGCTAATGTATCTTGACAATAATATGTGGAATCTAATAGGATTGAGTTAACAAATACCATGAACCCCTTAAGGACACATGTCATGTGTGACATGTCATGATTCCCTTTTATTCCAGAAGTTTGGCCCTTAAGGGGTTAAAGGCAGGAATAATGCCAGTGAGTAGGTAAAAAAAAAAAAACTACTGTAAATGAACCAAGAATAGTAACTTGTCTGCACAGAGTATCAAATGAGTAATAACGAAAGACACCCAACTGACTGGTAAATAGTAGTAACGATGTAATTATAATCTTATTGCGCTAGGCGCAATAGCTGTGGAGGGTGGTCTATTCAATACAGTACATATACAGTAGTCAGGTCTAACAAATAGACGGCTCACAGATACATTGCTGTCACAACTCCTTAATGAGCATAAATGTAATAATGTAACTATAAAGATGTGGCGCTGAATATGAACATAGTCCAACAATGACCAGCTATGAAACGCTCTTCTCTTAGCTATAAGTAGTATAGGCTTCTAAAACCTATCTCTGATCTCCCTCTACAATAAGACTAACTGTACCTTACATAGATACTCAAAAGTAAAGGTGAACATAAACGTGAATAATCCTAATACATGCGATTAAAATAAAACTATGAAACTAGCATAGCTGAATGATGTGAGTTAGGGTGACACCGTGGGTACAAATAGTGTATCCAAAAATGCAGCATGCGCCCCTGACGCGTGCGTTTCAGCCAAGCTCATCAGAGGGGAACAACTATAATGGACACTGGATTTAAAAAGGGTAAGAAACAAACTAAACATTTTTAGAATTATAAAAATGTCAGTGATTAGGTCATTAAAAGATGACACTCTATGCCTATCTTATCTGCTATGGATGTAAGGCATAAATGATCCAAAGTCGTGCTGTAAATATCTGTACAGATTTTTTTTTAATATAGTCAATTTAAAATGTTAAGACTACTAAGAAGTGCAGAATTCACTGATATATGTATAATACACAGAATAATCTGAGATTACCAATTCTTGTAAAATATAATTTGCCTGAATGTGTAGTGATCTATGGGCAGTATTTTACAAATATTCAAATCAGCAAATCAAAATGAGATGACCGGTAATTATATTGACTCCAAAATTTATGGCAAGTAGTATTGTTAAGAGCTCCTAGAAGTGCATAATAATAGTAACAGATATTTGTTGCCAGATAATACAATGTGAAACAGGTTAAGGCTTAACCAATCTGTCAATTCGGTATCTTATCTCTAGAATGTCCGCAGATGATACTTCTTTGGAAATAATGAAATCATATCATATTCTGTGCACTGGATTTCCTTAGTGATAATAAAATCATAAATTCTCCATAACTATTAATATTCGGCCACTAAATTTTAACAATATGTGCTTAATGACATCCCTATTATTGTTTACCTATTCATATTTAGAAAAAAAAAAAAAAATATATATATATATATATATATATATATATATATATATATATATATATATATATATATATATATAAATATAAATTTTTTTATTTTTTATTTTAAGGAACACTATAAGGTTATAGCCCCTCCACCCATACTCTCCTTGTCTCCCCTAAATATAGTAAAACCTTACTTTTATTCCAGCCTGCTGCGTTGCTGGTTCTGCCCCTGATCTGCCTTTTTGGCTGACATCATCAGAAGTGTTGACCAAAAGCAAGTCACAATGCTTTCCCATAGGAGAGCATTGGATTGACCTAGACTGTCAAGGAGGCAGATCAAGGGTAGTCGGTACTTGCCAATCAGTATCTCCTCTTGGAGATGCATTGAATAATGTCATCTCTGAGGAAAGTTCAGTGTCTCTATGCAGAAGATGGAGACACTGAATGGCAGCACTGTCCCAGGAAGCACCTCTAGCAGCCATATGAGCAGATGCCAGTGGAGTTATGCTGGGGCTGTACTGCAAACACTGCCTTTTCTGTGTAAAGACAGTGTTTTCTGCAAAGTGTCTGATCTTCCTAAGCCAGGGCTACAGTGTGCAGTACTTACATTTAGCTTCTCCACGCTCTGCATGCAGACACGTAATGTAAAACGCTGCAGCAATCACATTTCTATGAGGAGATGGTGATTGGTGCAGCGTTTTGCAGTACATGTGCAATAGCCTCACAATTCTTTCCTATGACAAGCATTGGCTTGGCTGAGATCTTCGAGATTGTCTCCACAATTTTGTGGTGGATTGGTCGTGTTTTTTTTTTTTTTTCTTTCCTAGATTCCTAATGTATTGTACTGTACATTTTCACCCACATGTTTTTTTATGCTGATGTGTGTATATATTTTATCTCTCTGACTATATATTTATATATATATATATATATATATATCTAATCTAGTGACAATCAAAAAAAAAAAAAATATATATATTTTCACACACACACCATATATATAATTGAATATACCATCCGTCAATGCTAATTACTGAAAGTTCTACCACTGCAAAATATCAATTTTTTTTTTTTTCTTCTTTGCTTTTATCTTTATAGGATGTGCTGCTAATTAAAGCCAGTTAAGTCTTCCAGAGAATACTCCATGATCTGAGATTGGTGAGATCTTACAAATTTGACATGAAGATGGAGGCGGTTGGGAAAAGTGAAGAGCTTTTAGATTCTGAAGTGCCTCCTCAAATCACTTCGCAGAAGGTGAACACTCAGTTGGAAGAGAGCTCTCTAGATATTCAGCCTGCTTCTCTGAAGGATGGAGTGCAGGAGGCACCAGACTCTTCTGGGCTTTCTTCAATGCCTTGCTTGTTAAAGGAATTGCGAAGAGACTCTTCGGAGTCCCAGCTAGCATCAACTGAAAGTGACAAACCAACAGCTGGCCGCATTTATGAGAGCGACTCATCAAACCACTGCATGCTTTCTCCTTCTTCCAGCGGACACCTGGCTGACTCTGACACATTGTCTTCCGCAGACGAAAACGAGCCACGTCATACACAAGCAATAACAGAAGGTTGCGATGCTGCTGCTCAAGGTGGTGGAGTGGCCCGCAAATCTAGAAGGTCCCGATCAGAGAGTGAAACATCAACTATGGCTGCCAAGAAAAACCGTCAGTCTAGTGACAAACAAAATGGCAGAGTTACCAAGATCAAAGGTCATAGAAGCCAAAAGCACAAAGAAAGAATTCGGCTTTTGAGGCAGAAGAGAGAGGCAGCTGCTCGTAAAAAGTACAACCTTCTTCAGGATAGTAGCACTAGTGACAGTGACCTAACCTGTGACTCCAGTACAAGTTCCTCTGATGAGGATGAAGAGGTTTCAGGGAGCAGTAAGACAATCACAGCAGATATACCAGGTAAAAATATTTCCCTGAACTACACTTTTGTGTGTGGCTAGGAGTATTCCACGACTTATTAATTCCATGATAGTGGCATGCTCGGTTCTCCGATGTAATTATTGCATGTAGGAAGTCCTCTCAAAAGGCATCTTTTTTTGGAGGTCGTTTTCTGCTCTACTGAAAGTGGATTATTGCATCTTTTTTATATTCCTTACACTTGTGTGTGTGTGTGTGTGGTATTTGTATTAACATTGTAATATTAACCATAATGAACCAGAGAAGGTTAACCTTTGTCCACCAACCTCTTAATAACAGGGTTACCCACCACTGTCAGAATAGTAAATGCTTGGGTTATTAGTGTTTGTTTTGAGGTGGTGGTTTTCCTTCCCCTCTTTTCTGTTGATTATGCTTTGCAGCAACTGCAGGGTTGCTAGAGGAACACTCCAAGCAACACAGCCACAACTGCACCTTATAGTGGTTATTGTACCCGGACTCCCCCACATGCAACTAGTCACACCGCTTTAGCAACGATTTGACTTTTTACCTGGGGTTTACTGGGTGCTGCTTCCTGGCTCTTTTTTCAGCTGCTAACTCTCCACTCTAAACTACGCAAGGTAGTGCTGGACTTTTAATTGGCTGAGACTGATCAGTTGATGCTCTTGGCCAATGAACTGGACCTGCAGGAGCTTCTAGTTCTTCTGGAGCCTTAAAGGAGTCGGGGAGCAGTGCACAGCGGACCTTAGGTAAGAAGACCAGGTGTCACTAAACGGTTTTTGGACATTAAGGTACTCCAGGCTCCTTAATCACTGCAGTGTGCTCTCATTTTTATGTTGCTTGGAGTGTCACATTAATGTGATGAAACATTAAAATTTTTATATAAATACATTTTATAATTTTTCTGTTAATAAACCAATGTTTGTACATCCCTATTCATTAACTTTAGAAATGCCAGACAAGTTAATTCACTTCCTAAGCTCAGATATAGAAGTTATTGAAGGTGCAACTCATATATTCTACAAAGTTGACCGGTGTGACGTAGTTTTATTCATATATATATTGACATGTTAATTCTGTTCTCTACTTGCCAGACTTTAGCAACTGTAACTCCTCTTCTGTCTATATTGAGAAGAACTGGAGGTACTCCTTTTGGAGGAGTGTGATCTTTCCTGAGAAAAGTTGGCAAAGACTTGCAATGAGGCCTTATGTCTTCTTTTTGAGTAGGACATTTGCCTAACCTGAACCAGGGCTGCTCCCAGCTCCTTTTGAAAGTGGAAGCGCACTAGTGTGTAGCTTGGAAAATTAATACATTTAACTTGGTTGGAAACAAGTGTCATTATGTGGATGAAAGATACAACAAATACAAAAGATAGGATAAGCGCTATGAAATCAATTAATATAAACCGTAAAATAGGCTGCAAACACTGAATGTAAGGAATACTCCCAACACCTTACTGGCAAGAAGGAAAACCATACAAAACAGAGGTTGCGCATAATACTGTGTATTAAGTCCAATAAAATCATTCTTTTAAAGATCCTGGATTGCAATCGTCCCGGCTTCAGTTGGTGATAAATCTTTGTAACAGAAAATAACCAATACTAGTGCAGATAGTCAAATAATTACTATAGAACATATAACAAGGATATGTGGGATCACATTCACATCTGTTAGAGCTATTGACCAGCTCTGAGTTAAACCGCTTACTGCGGTATAATCCCTACTGGTGGATAAGTAGCTCTTTAGGGATAAGTCTCACAGCATCCAAATAAATATTTTAAAAAAAGCAAACACTAGTGATTGCTGAGTAAAACCAAAAACAGTTAAAAATATAAATGGTAACTTACTCACATTTAGTAGAGCAGTAACACCGCTAAAGAGTGTGCTTGGGTGGCATGATCCCCATCAAGCATATAATGTTGCGTAGATTACACTGAAGGCAATCCTTTCCACGGATTGCATGTAGACTAGAGTTTGCCAACAACAATAAGAAAATAAAGTATAATAAATGGTCTTGTACTATAAAATAGATGTAAGCCAAATAAACTTTAATTCTTAAAAATATTACAACACACACACACACACACGTTTTGCCAAACAAGGAGCTTTTTCAAATGAACATAGTATTAGCCTGGCACATATGGGTTTATATAGGGTTTAAAAATTGCCAAATTGAATAATTTGGCCCCAATGAGGTCATATGACATGATTCAAAGGTAAAATCACACATTAACAGTAGTAGACAAAATTAAAACATTACTGAATAAAAACAATGTTACTTAGCTGATATATTTAAGCTGGTGAGATAACTCAGTGGTGCATGAAAAGTGAACTTTAAAGATCATTTCAGGCACCATAACCACTATAGGCCCTCAGATGCTTTTCTCCTTTATCGGAACTAAGCTGTGCTGTACAGAACTGTGGTCATTAGTGGAGAGTGCTTTCCTGATGCTCTCAGCCAATGATCATGGTCCTGTGTATGGTTTGACTACTTACCATGGGACAGTGCCAGGACACTCCTGGTACTATTGCTGTATATAGTGGTTATGGTGCTTTGAATTTCATTCCCTTTTAAATCGAAGTAACTGATACTTTAGCATAACATAACTGCGTTGCTTTACATAAATGTAAAAGGGGAGGCAATATATTTGATATCATGCCTCTATTTCTACGGTACATAATTACCATAACAGTTTGCGGAGGCATAAGATAGTCACCAAATATAGACTCTGTATATACACACACACGTCACACAGTGTTGCTGAAGGTAATGTATTTCTCTGTGTGTTTAAAGGTACCATTAACATCCACCTGCCTTGGAAAGAATTTAACGATTTAGCACGCATTGATAACTTTAGCAGAAGTTTATATCCTTCAGTTATTTGAAATTAACTTTCTGGCAATATTAAAGAAGTGTGTAAGGTTAGTGAGATTACTATTTGAAGACTAGATGTGCAGAGAAAAATATTAATGTCTTCTCTAAAAAGAATACCATGCGTGTTTTGTTAAGATTAACATTTAAGTCCTGTTCGTAAAAGATTATTTTATTTTATTTTTTTCCAGTTTTAAAATTAACCAAGTATTAAACAATCAAGTGTGTGTGCAGTAATGAAACAGAGAGAAGTCTTTTCTTCTCTGGTATTGGTAAGGGTATTCAACCATTAGTAATCTGTGCATTTATTTTGGTTTTCATACACAGAGCCCTTCTGTAGCCAATACTCCATTTTGAGTACCAGAAACTTTAACATGGACTATAAGTAGT